CCTTATGCCACTGCATGTATGACCCAGGTTCGTATAGAAGATGGTGGAAGGTGCTGGACGCAACCAAAGCAAGTTTGGTGCTCAGAGCCTAGGACCAAACACATATTGTCGGGAAAATTTCATATGCACCAGTAAAATGAAGTCATTAGCACGTCCTCAAACTTCTAATAGAATAGCTTAGGAATGCGAAATTAATTGGGTGAATGAAGAAGGTTATATAAACTTGCCAGTGCTACTTGACAAGCATGTATCTTTCGATACTATATTCAGATGACATTATATTGCACATGAGGGCATGAAAATGGAAGATATACAAAAGCACGTTATGTAGCATACCAGAAGTGAATCACCAGAGCAAAGCATGCTCCTTCTGTACAGAGTAGATAGAGATACCCCATGCCTCCAGGTACTGCACAATTTATGAACATAGACATCAGATAATCAATTGCATTGGCAAAATGATAATAATCACTACATATTTGGATCAAAAGATAACCTGTAAACCAGCATCCAGTTCTTTCCTTGAACAAGAACAGGAAGAGATGGATAAAGAACATTTCGCATCATTTCTGATAAAAGCATCGATGGTTCAGACATAGGTGGCAACTTATGATTTGAAGCAGACCCCTTTGATACCTTGAGAGCGAAACCGGACGACATTGACTCTATTTGATTTGCTATTTCATTATCAATGATGTGGCCGGATTTTTGTCTGAAACCACCAAGTCTACCTGCCTTGTTAATAATCTTTCCAATGGAATGCTTGCCTCTACTAAGCAACCCCTTCCTTTCCTTGATTCCCCTCCCAACGGGTGTTAAAGTTGGGTATTCCATATCCAGATCCTGCTCAGGTATGATCTCCATCGAATCATTGCTAGAGCTTGACGCAGACATAAATGACATCAGAAATGCTCGAAACGAAGATGTGTCAGGGCCATTAGGAATTTCAGATTCTTCATCACCATAACGATTTTCCTGCCCTTCAGTGGCCTCCTACAAGATAGATATGAACTTTAAGCTTCTAGCCCAAGCAAAGCATGACCAATAAAATGATCAGTACATGCTGTTGTAGTTGCCATGCCAATTGCTCCTAAACAAGCTATCATGAATGTCAGGTTCAGTTTCTTTTCTTTCACAAAACTACCATACAAACAGGAACTCAATGACTTATGGCTAGTGAATGTGCACTAGCGTGAGGTCCTGGTAGGTGAAACCATCCACTCTCCAATCACAAAAAATAAAGGTTTGCAGCAGCAGCAATGGGCAACAATGATATTTTCCATCTGAAACTTTGCCTTTGGCACTTGACAAATTGCCATTAGCGAGTCGTGCATCTCAACAGAAAGGGGAAATACTTGTAAACCCCGCAAACCAAACATCATATCACCCTAAATTAGATATTAAACTAAGTAACCTTTCTTGTCAGGGTTCTCCAAAGCCCAAATACACACATGAGAACTGGAATAGGCACCAATTCATCAGTCGAAACTACCTATTGGTTGGTCAATCACACAAATACCCCTCTAGTTTGCTTGTACAGATCTACTCCAAAGTCCAAACTGATCTCCATGCTCCTGCTCCCACAGTTTATATTTGACCGATAGCCGCCTTAAAACATTCAGATACGTACCAATAATCATCCTAGTACAGGGTCAGCCATCTCAATTAGCAGCACACAGCAAAGGATGCCATAAACCGCTAGAATTGTGCACCGCGTAGTCCGGAGACATACAGATGTGATCTCCAGCCGCAAGCCATGCATACATCCTAGGAGCTGGCCGATCGAGCGGATTACGAAGCACAGGCGCAGAAATG